CTAATGATTTGTCATAATTGTTTTATTTGGTTACTAAAACTCAACCAAGCTAAATGTGGTCTGGCGGATTCTCCCTCCTTAGACTCGGCAGATTTCATCATTATCATGAACCCATTTATACTTCCCACTGCTGGGCACGGGTAACGGGGTAATATTTTAAAAGTGGACAACCCAAAATTTATAGGTACTCTGTTGTTATCCCTTTTCAGTATGCGCGAGAAGCTTCTCTATTCTTTTTTTTATTCTCCCTCTACGCCTCAAAACAAATCAAATTCAGAGTGATTTACTATCGCGTTATTAAAATTGAGAAATAGAGTAATAGAGATTACACTAAGGCAATTACTTTTTCTTTTTTTTTATGATATACGATACCACCATTTGATAAAGTGGTTGGGACGATCGTGCGTCTGGGTAGTACGCGGCGCATCTACCCGTAATAGTTCTAAATCTATTGGATATTGTTAATTTCGTTTTAAAAGTCAGGCTGATGTACAAAATAGATAGTTATTGTGCTGATTTCGCTGACCAGCCTTTAATTCAGTTCAAATCTTTATTTCGGACAAATATATATTAGTAAAAGTCACAATCAATAAATTACATTTCGAACTGTCTAAAGACAGTTCTAACACTCTTGGTAATTATATCGGTAGCGTGTTTTAGGATTTCAGCACTGGTTAAAAATATTTACGTCCGTTTTAAATTCAATTTTAAAGCTTTAAACTCAATTAAAACCAAAATTTCATTTTAAAACAGGACGTAAATATTTTAAAACAGCCGTTAACTCTTAAAACACGCTCCCCTGAAAAATTTTTGGAAATGTCGCTTACGCCGCTTTCTACAAAACACCGACGAATACTGCTAACCATTAACACAGTATTGGCCCGTCATCTCTTTGGGCCATCGCATCGTCCAAAGGAGGTCGTTGGCACTGCCTCACACTAAGATGCACGATTTTTTGCTTTGAATCGAAATTTTGGATCGTATGCTTTTTTTCTTAATCGATTCATATATCAGATCATATGCTCTTGAGTCGATCTCAGAAAAATCTTTTCAAAATTAATTTTGATAAAAAAAAATATAATTCTGATAGCCACTGTTTCGGTCTCTGTCGGTTGCGACTTTCATTTCGAATGATATTAGCCAGTGAGAAAAGACGTTTAGGCGCGACAGAAGTACCAACAATTGCCAATTACCGTAGGCTTATTGTACTTAACCTTTGTCATGTAACCTCCGTGAAATGTCCAACGATAAATCCCCCCCTTGGTTTTCCATACCTAACCATTTTAAAAGCGTGTTTGAATTGATGCTTGATAGTTGCTACTTCGCTGCAGGCTTTTATCACATTTCTTCTGACCTTAAGATCGATTTGGCACTGACCTTAGTCTGAAGAATAATCTTCAAAGTTATCTGCTCCTTGAACGACATAGTAATAAAAATATTACAAAAAAGTGATAATGCTATCTCTCACTCTTTACAATTTCCATTTATAAGCTATCATGACTGTTCTCGAGTTCAAGTCCGATAACCATAGTCTTCACTCCTTTTATCAACACTTAATTACACTCCCGGACACACAATTCGAGCCACCGTGTATTTTCATTAGCTTAAACTATTAACAATTTTGAAACTGATATACTAAACGTCATTTCCACGAGTCCTTGTTTAAAAATTTTAATTTTAGAACCGGGGAAAACCTTTTCTTCAATGGTAACAATATTTTTGTGTTCTAGCCCTTTTGCAAAGTGGTTCGAATGGTATGTTGTACGTATTAAACTCGGATGACCGGTAAATTAGCTCGCGGAGAGGCGTCTTAAACATAGGACCAAGTTTGCTGGACAATATTTCAGTGACACTTAAGACACTAAAAATACGTTAATTATAAAAACTTCACTGTACACATCTGTAACTTTGTTAGCTCAAAAATTTTTTAATATTAACATAAATAACTAAATTCGTCGTATGTTTCTTTTGTCTTTTCATGGATGACAAAAAGTACTAAGCTTTTTTTTCACGTTCTATTTTCAGTACGAGATAAATAGCCCCACTATCAGTTAACCCGTACAACCCCTTAGCGGATGAATATAAAGACGGTACACATAAACAACAGCAGGAGATGTGAACACAGACACGTTTGTTCACCGGAATTTGACCCCAATAAACGCTTAATAGACCTTGTGGCTTTTATTGCTTTTAATTATTAAACATAACACTTGCTTGTTAGTGACGTTAACACTAAATTAGTAAACTGTTAGTAATGAAAAATCTTATCTATTATATCCATCTATGCCCAAACCTTTGTCACAAATAACATTAACAAACTTCACATTGCGAGCTCTGTGGTGCGCGGTTTTATATTAATTTGATCGCACATTGTTTATATAGCTGTCAATGGAAATCCCGTTAGCTATCATCTTTGGGAAATAATAAAGGTTCCGAAAAACAAAATAAATTGCAGCGAACTAAGGCTAAATGTAATACTAATTAAGGTGCGTTAAAATGAGTTACTGAGATATAAACACGGAATATACCGACAAAATTAATCATCGAGTTCTTAGGTTTTCGCTTTTGTTACACATAGGAAATGAAACTATTGTAAGGGCCCGAAACGTTGATTTGCTTAAAAAAAAAACAAATATACTCGATTTAAATCCGGAAAAAATAATTATATTTAGCCATTATTTAGCAAACAATCAAGAGCTTGTTTAAATTACAACTCTACGAAAAAAGCACTACTTTCGAATAGTATACTAAACTTCCGAAAGAAATACTAACTCACCTATGTATGTCCTATTCTGTCACTAATCCAAGCACCAAAGTTCATAAAATGTATAAGATCGCTTATAAATCTTAGGCTCCACCTGAAAA